ACACAGTGTCACTTCTTTCAAACAAAGCGCGCACACACACGCCGGCACAAAGACTGCAGCCAAGCACCAAGACATTGTACAGAGTTATGATAAATGTAGTCAAGAGGTGGTGTATTAGTCATGTTTTTAGTGGCGCAGTCCCAGAGGATGAGCTGCTTTCATCAGTCACGGAGGTAGAGGTGGAGGAGAGAACAGCTACAGGACCTCCCACTCTCTCTCATCACAATAAGCTACACTTAGAAGGAGCTCAAGCTTAACAGACTGGAAACTGCATGTTTGTTTGTGCTTCTGAGAAATTGTGCATATCTTTAAATTCACAACAACAACACAAAAAACTTGTTTTTTTTTAAAAATAATACATTTTATTGAAATGGCTGCTTTTGTATGACAGCGTTGGGTTGAAGATTGTTGAGTCAGCCTGTGTTGCTGAGATAAGTACAATGCACCAGCTGGAAAACCAACAGGCTCGATGCCTCTAACTTGTTTCTCATGGTGTAAGAATAATTGTGTGTGTCATCTTGGGTTTGTGTATTCATACATGTGTTTGCATGTGTATATTTGTGGCTTCTTCAGTGGAGGAAACTTACACAACAAACTAGAGGTAGCGATGAAGTCCTCCGTACCTCGAGGCTTACAGATGCGCAGCAGAAGGCAGCTGAGCTTCAGCTGAGGCAGCACTTTCCCTCCGGTCTGTCAAAGTCAGTCTCTCTCTCTCTCTTTCTCTCTCTCTCTCTCTCTCTGTCCCTTTCGCTCCTGTTTTCTCTAATCCAAACTTTTTTCGAAACTCCCATCTGCTAACATCATACTCTTCCATGTGGCAGTCACAACATTTTTCTCAGATCATATTCAGTTGACATAAAGCTTGATGAAAATGCAGAGGTGTCAAATAATGCCCAAATTACCATGTGAAAGTGTGGAGGCAGGTAGAATTGCATTGCAGTGGGAAGCAGAGCGAGGGACAGCAAGTAACGGAGCGAGGGAGCAGCTTAGAGCAATCCCAAAAAGGAGAGCGGCAGAGCTTTAAGTCTCGGAGGAATTTGAAAGCCATAGAAATCCAGTTGCGGATATTAAGAGGCTTAATCTAAGAGCTTGCTGAGGCTGAGTTTTGCTGTGTGGGCCCCATCACTATCATCCTTGACAGAGGTTAGAGAGGAGACGAGGGAGGATAAGGAGAAGGAAAGGAAGAAAAGGCAGATGGGAGCTATGACGAGAACAGGGAGCTGCGTATCATTAAGACAGCCTCACATGCTTTTTTCAGGAGAATTAAACATTGGCTTAGTGCATGTTTGTGGGTGTTAGTGCGGGTGTGGAGGGTAATGTTGATAAGTCACTGTGTTTTTTCAACTCCTGCAAAAAAAGTCATCATCTTGTTGGGCGCAGTCAGAGCCGGGGAGCATGTGTCAGGCATGAGTAGAGGAGTCAGAGTCTATGATTCATTCATACCATAATTAGAAACAACTAAGTGATCCAACTGTAGTGCACAAGTCGGGATGACATAAAGCAATACATGCTGAGATGAAACTCATTATCATCAAGCTGCAGATGCCTCCCAGGAGAGGAGAGGAGAAGAGAAGAAAGCAGGCTGGCAGGCAGGTGGATAAGAGGAATCCCCACTGCCTCTGTGGCATTCTTTTCTTCTTCTCCACGGCATTCCTGCTTCATTTGATGTGAATGTTTTAGTATAATGAAATGCTGAGGTGACTTCTACAGAGTCCACAAAGCTGCGCCATTTTTTTTTTGGTGTGTGTGTGTGGAGTAATGCCACACTTTGACGCTTCAGTCATGTCAGCTTGTCAGGAAAACCAGACTGTCTGTCCACAGCAATGATTGGAGCGTCCTCAACAGCTCAAAGCTTTTTTCTCACAGTTAGGAGATTGCATGTTGCTCTGGGGTGTCACATAGCTTTGCTCTGTCCGCAGAGAAGTAATTGCTTTTTGCAGTGCAATTATAGCCCATTGTGCTTTTTGGAATTCAGCTGCATGTGTCAGGAAACAACAGCACGCAGTCTCTTATAAGCTACACGTGTAGCCCGTCTGTCATGTCTTTCTTATTTACGATATAGCGTGCATAGTTATATATCTCTGCCTCTGTCTTTTTCTTTGCGTAGGAGGCATTAACCGGGCTGGGGCAGCGGTCCCGACGTTCCTGCGGACCCCTACGATGATCCAGCCCCACCTGGACATGAAGCCCTTCCTGCAGTTCCCCATGGAAACCCCCCCTCCTCCGCACAGCATGAGCCTCTTCCACAACTTCAACACGGTGAGAGTTGACGCAGACACACAGAAACAAACACACATACTGCAGTCTTTTAACTCATCCACTGCAGTAAGGAAAACACATGAGAGACCTCTTTCACCACAAAAACGTAGGAACCTTGCAACCTGCTACGTGCAGGAAGTCGTGTTGTTTTTACCTCCATTATGCCTTCACATCCAGCGTTATTTTTAACCGTGTGTAGCATTTAGGTTCTAATACAGTAGCTGGCTTTTAAGTGTATCTTTAAATTGTTGAGTTTTGCTGCTACATCTGCATTAAAAATGCATGCTGAGCCAGTCAGGCCTGTGTATTGGGGAAGCAGGGCATTCCCAAGACTGCATTACTTCATGTGCGCACACTCTGCCCGCGTTACTTAAATCAAAGCCCTAAGAATTAAAGAGCAGTTTTAAGGCCATCCTCATAACTGTGTGCTTCAAACACCGCAGTTCGCTTGATGTGGTATTTATTTTAACAGAGAGGGATCTTCCTGTTCCTTCTTCCTCAGGCTCTAACTAACGTCTGATCATTCAGATTAGACCATGGAGACATTTACTATTTCACCGGCTCAGCGTATTGTGGCTCTTTCCCCTCCAGACTCCGTTGACCGATGTTGACACATTTCTAGTCAGCAATATGTATAAAATCAGTAAACTTTGTATGTATTCTTGAGGGCAGTGCTATTCCTGGGCCATGTCTGCAGCAGAGTTTTATCCTCTGCATGTATCAGCCTGGTATATTTGGCTGCAGTTTCCAAAGGGGCAAAATAGCAACCTCCTTTCACTAATTGGAAATATCTGGCATGTGCTTTGACCGTGCATAGCGCTACAGTAACGGGAGTCGAGACACTGTTAAACACATTCGAACAATAAAAGTCATTTTAATAGCCCTCAGTGGGCCATGACATAAGTGGAAGCATTTCCACCACCAAGCTGCACTACACCCAGCAGACACGGATTAATCGAGATACTGAAATTATGCAGGCACTCGGTTTCCACTCTTGCCTCTGTTAGCATAGCCCTAAAATCATTCCTGCTTGCTCTTTCTTTATTCTGTCTTGCTGCTTCTGCGACGCTCCCTCTGGATCTCTGTCTCGCTCATTCTGTAACATCCCTCCGCTCCCCATCCTTCTCTTCAGAACGTTAACTATGTCTGAAGGTCCACAGGGACGCTGTGAATGTTAATAGCTGCCGATGACTGCGAGGCAGCCCCCAGTGTCTGGTGTTTTACAGCTCTGTGGCCAGGAGATGGGGCCATAGGAGTGGCTTGGAGGACATTCTGACCTTACAGCTTGATTCCACACTAGCACAAACATAGACGGGACTCAATGATTTTACTGCAATGCACTGAAAACAGGAGAGAAATGACTGAGTGGGACGCCCATCCTAATAGTACAGATGGTATTTGATTTAAAGGTCTAGGAAAAGAGCGTTCGATGCCTGAAGTGTACAATTGTTTTGGATCTGCGGTGTGTATAGTATGCTGTAAAAATGGAGAATAAAAGAAAACTACTTTGGATTCTGCAAATGAAGGCTCTGTCTTGATGTCTTTGCTATGGAGGAAGTCATAGCCCTCAGCTTTTCCCAGAGATGTTTTATGTTTAATTTAGTGTTGCGTAGTTGAGTGTGTTTATAGAGGAAGACCTAGCGTAAGAGAGAAAACCTCTGCGGCTCTGTTTACATCGCAGACTGCTTTTTATGGCTTGTTAGACGTGAACAGAGGACAAGCTAGGATTATTTTACATACCATTTCCGGCGTCTTAGATGCTGCCCACTGCCTTTTCTGCACCAACACACTGTGACAAATTTGGATACACATAATATTTCCATAAAGACGCAGCATTATAGCAGCAATAACGCTGAAAAATGAGCCTGCACTGCGCTGGCAGCCAGTTATTCTATCATTCAGTCTTAATAAGTGATCTGTGCTGAGTTTGTCTAGTCTTAATGAGACTCTACTTCACATTGAGGGTTATTAGGCCCGTAGCAGAGGAATGGCCTCTCCTAAAGCCATATGCAGCTTTAATAGTCCTCTAATGTAATTTGTCCTCTACCTGCCTGTCTCGCTCAATGTGCCTGTAGACAGTGACGAGGCTGAATTATTTATCTGCGGCAGTTGGTTTCGGATATAGACGCATGCTCGCACACCTCCTGCTGCCTGCACTGACGTAGACCTGCCGCCACAAAGCCGCAAAATCAGGACTTTCCATGCAGTCTAATCATGCAAAGCACACTTGTTGAATCTCATCTGCCATCCAGCCTCCATTCATCTCATTTTTCAATCACCTCCTGAAGAACTTGATTTCGCTTGCAGAGCAGCACTCACTTTTTCCCCGACCAGCTGACTGATCATCTCTACAGGTTTCAGGAGCACGAGCAATCAAGCATTTAGAATATATTTTGTCCAGCTCCTTAGTCACAACACCGCTTTTGTGCAAGTGCGCCTGGCTGAATATATTTGCCTTTAAACCACTCTTTAAGAGTTTTGCTCATTTGAAGGAAGTTGGTGGGAAATGCAAAAAACACCAGTGGTCGATAGTGACATTTGATAAGAAGAGTGCGAGTCAAACAGGAGGACAGTAGGACACACAATCCTGGCTGCATCTGGGCAGATTGAGTATGCATGAAGAAGGGGGGAGAGAGGGAAGGAGAGAGAGAGAGAGAGAGAGAAGGGGAGGAGAAAACTGGAAAGCACAGAGAGGGAAATGCACTACAGGGAAGCGTGAGACAGAGAGAAAGTAGTTGAGAGGAGGAGGAGGTTAAACAAAAAGGGAAGGCACTTGATGGTCATGTGCTGAAAACAAGAAGAGTAAGGGAGAGACTTGTGTTGCAGCATCTCAAAGAGAAGCAGAGTGAGGAAAAAACAAAGAAACCTTAGCTGGCAATGTATCACTAGGCACAAGTCTTGTTTTTTTTTTCTTTCTTTCTTTTGTAAGCTAGTCTGTATTCAGCATATACAACCCACCAGTTAGCTGAATGAGTGAGGAAGGTGCACCACTCACTCTCAGTCTCGCATATGCCGAGACCCAAACACACACCTCGGCCGGCAACGCACACACAGGAGGACCAATGCAGCTTCAAGCTTCTACAGACACGGAGGAGAAGAAGGTGAGTAGCAGAAATTCTTGGAGCTCTTTGCAGGTTTTTTTTTTTCCTCCCCTTTATTTTCCACCCAACTGTGTCTTCATCTGGGCACAACTCAAAAGTGCTGCAGAAACTTGTGCTTCAAAGGCTGTTTTTTTTATCTGGCATAGCGTCAGCCTCACTGTGACTGCCAGAGTGGTTCTGCTGAGAATCACACAGCACCGCATTCTTCACGCGTGGAAAACAACCATTCCAAACATTTTTGTTTCGGGGGATCAAACATGAAAGAGAAGCAAAACTGTAAAAGGATGGAAAACAATAAAGAGTGGGAGAAAATGGGAGTTAAAGGTTAGAAATTAGCACCATACAAGAGGATGTTGGTGAGTTTAGGTGAATGCAAATGGGCCAGCTGATACTTGGATGCTCTTTAAGCTGCTGACATGTTCGCTGAGTGATTCAAAAGTCAGCGGTCTGTGTGGGTTATTGAAATCTGCCAGTGCTCTTACCACATTCAAGTGACATGAGATTTCCATTATTTCTCAAGATGACTATATATATTTCATTTACTTATTGGATTTTAGAGATATTACTGGACAAAGTCAGTATGAAATACAGTTGCTGGTGTGAGTGAGTTTTGGAAAATCCCTCTGAAGTTACATCATCGTGCTTTGCTCCGATTTCATGAGAACATGTTTGGAGAGCATTTGAGTGAGGGGCCATGTGAGCTGCCTTCCAGAAAGCCTTGTTGGCAGATGAACTGTGTTTTTAACAGCTGAATCAACTGGCTGGATCATAGCTGACCCACACCCAGAGCACTGGACCGACTGGCTGGGGAGAAGCCCATGATTCATGTGTACAGTTACTCCAGCAGGCCTGTTCAGCCTCTTGTTAAACTTCCTTCTGCGGCGGGATAGTGGGTCATGTTACGGACACCCAGAGGATGGAGTTGTGGCAACATATGACAGATATTAGAAGGATTTGGGATGGTGGCGGTTTATTTCAGTCCTTGTGCTGAAGTCTTTTTCTTTGGTTTGGACTGTCTATTGCATGTTGTTGTTAAGCTGTTCTTGCTGCATAGACAGTTATCAGTCGCAATTGCTCAGTATCTCCTCCACCCCCCAAACCCCCAACTCCCCTCATCCATCTGAATTCACAGCAGCAGCAGCCACAGAGCTTGCTTTAGGCTGTTTCTGGGGAGAGAAATAGAGGGAGTCGTGGAACGTGGAGTACGGGAAAGAGAGCCAAATAAGATAAGAACGTGCGATGTGAGGATGTCCGGCTTGGGCCTCTTGCTCTGTCTTTCTGCCTCTGTCTGGGCTCTCTCCCATTTCTCCTTCCTTTTCTTTTTGTCCCAGTTCATCCACTCCTCCACATGGTGTGTTTTCTCCACTGTTGTGCCACCCAGCTAAATGTCTCGGGGCTCCTCCCTATATCTTTCTTTCTTTTTCAACCACTTGTTTTTTTTTGGAGTTGCCAAGTAACAGTCACTGTGCAAAAAAGTCTGGTTGTTTGCGCTTGAGAATATTCATTTCAGTGACTTTATTTTTCTCTGTCACTCCTCAGGCCGTTGAGCCATTTGTATATTAGATAAGACTATGTCTGTGAGTGCAAGACAGCTTAAGGGAGAGCTCGGTGATTAGCCAAATTAAACGCATGAACCAAACTGAGTCATTGCGAGTGTGTCAGGCTCTCCAAACCAACAGGCTTGCATTAAACTTGGAGGACTCAGTGGAACATTCCCTCAGTGCCTTATAAATTCAAAACACAAAACATCTCAGCAATTTTGTTTTTCAGGCCACGGCTTTTTGGTTTGACTTTGTTCTTTTTGCGTAACCATACTTTGCCACATCATTTTCATAACCGTAGCTTGCTTTAGCCACTGAAATGTGCCAGACGGTTGCCTGTGGTGGAAATCTGCAGTACTGAAACCCCTTTTTGCCCCTTTGGAAACTGCAGCCAACCAGCCACTGAATCCAGACTAATGCTAAGGTCAACTGACAGTGATTACTAGATCAATTCAGCTTCAAACACAGATAAACAATTGGAATGGAACCCTTTTAGATCAGCACAGGCAGGGTCTTTTGTGTCTGGGACACAGTTTATATGGGGGGATTAAGAGCCGACGTGTTGGAGGGCCGCTAAGCGAGTTAGTTAAATTTATACAAGGTGCTTAACACCACATGGATGATGGACGTCCCAGCTGAAACAATTAGCGCGGGGACCTTATGATGCTGCAACCTGGTTCAGAGCAATCAAACGGCTGCGACAGGGATGCAACAGGTGTCTCAGTCGTAGCAACATGCTGTCAACACCACTGTTTGCTGAACATAGACACAGACTTGCCATAAACACTGGACAGACTCTGTAAACATTCTTTTCTGTGCACTTTATCCACCTTGCGTGTGGCCTTTAAGACTTTTCAAATGCAGTCTTTTGAGTAGAAAAACAGTCAACTCTTGACTCCACGCTGACCTCTACGCTCAGGGCTAGAGGTCGTAGCACGTTCACCTCTTGCATCAGTGTGATAGAATGACTGGCCTGTTCGGTTGTAGCAGCAGGACTTCGAGAGCACAGCCCTACAGAGTATGAATCATAGCTCACACATTTCTGCTCTCTCTCCTCTCTCTTCCTCTCCCATGTTATTCACTCTGTCAGATGGATCCAGTGCAGAAGGCCGTGATCAACCACACCTTCGGAGTTCCTCTGGTCAAGACCAAGCGGCCCGTCATCTCCTGTAACGTCTGCCAGATCCGCTTCAACTCAGAGGTACAGGAACAGTAACACAAACACAGCATCGCTCTACCTCCATCGCTCATGTCCTCTTCATTTCCCACGTGGCATTAACTATGCTGCATTTTTCTCCTTCATACACATTTTACTCAGGATTGTCTTGGAGGCCTGGCTGTCCTGGTTTGCTCTTCTGAAAGCGGATATTGACCCAGAGGATGCGGTGCATTTGTTTGGGCTGTGTTTTGGTGACCCTCACTGGAATTTAATTTGATTTAATTCAAGTCAGTGTCGAGTTAGCAGAAGTGCTGCAGTGTGAGCGAGATTGATAAGAACACGATGTTTGACTGAGATCTCGAACATGTTGGAAACACAGGACATTAGCCATGAAGTAAAGAATCTCTTTAGAACTGAATGCAGCAAGTTGTTCTTTTCAAGATGTCGTATAGAGCTGTCAATTAATTATAACAGCAGTTTCATCTGTTAGTCCAGATGGTGTAGTTTATCTAAGCTCATAATTGGAGTTTAATGGCACATTATACCCTTGGGCAACTTGCATACATGACTGATGACAATTTAATGAAAGCAAAAATCATATGGAAGTGTTTTATGATTAGCAATGCCAAACTCTTCCCAGTCTCTTCTTTGTTGTGTAGACAAATAGGATAGACACATGACAGCGTCAGCACCAAATGTCATGTGTGGAGTGTATAATTTGGCTGTGATTCTCCCTATTCAGCGGTACAGACTTGAGGACCAGGGCGTGCATCCCATCCACAATACACAACATTAAGGAGTGGACCGGTGCTATATATACTCCTCACATCTACAATCATGGTTTTCCGTGTGGTCAGGGAGCTGCAGGGCTGTAATCTTCAGCCTTCTCTTCGCAGGGTTCTCTGCTGTATATCTTCTCAGGCAACAGGAAGCCGTTAGACAGAAATGTTTATATAATGAAATACTTTGAGACCTACGGCTAGCGATCAAATATTGGCTTCTTTAGTAAAGGCGTGTCTGGTTGGATGAAGTTAGGACAGTAAATCAGTGAAGATTTTAAAGACTTTAAATATTTGATTTCATGCTTGAAATGGTGCTTTTATGATGATGGCTAAAAGGAAATGACACAGAGTTACAAAAGAAAATGTCCATAACAGATTGTAATATATTTTCTCCTCATTCTGGCCAAAATATAACTAAAACAAGTTCTATTCTGTCTATTGTGATACATGAAAGAACATATCTGGCAAGCATATGCAGAGTGAGAAGTGAAATACTCTTTACTGCAGTTGGCTATACTTTACATGTGAGAGAACACTTTCCTTTATTTATCATTCACTGACATGAACCTGAGAGTGATATCTGGCTGCTGTCTGTGGAGAGAGGTGACTCTTCCTCGCGGCGCCATTAACAGTATGAATCATTTGGAAAGTGTTTCAAGCTGGGACTTTATTTATTCAAGCAAAAGTTTTTAACATTTAAAACGACTTTTTCAAGACCTGGTCACCAGAGCAGGATAAAAAAAAACATGCAATAGGCACAAAGAAACTGGCTAGTGTAAGATGCATACATGTGAGATGCATGACTATATAAATGAAGTAAAAACAATACATTTATATGGAGGTATTTATGAGCATTTGGTCGCCTCATTGACGCTCATTGTGCATTCAAGCTTGTGACTCATTAGGATTGTGATGTGCAAGACGGCACCGACTCTCTGCCGTCATTGTCACTTTTGCTTCCAGCAAACAGGAAAAAGAACTCGCTGCAGTATATCAGCAATGTCAGACTTGCAGCTGTTTGTTGTTTGTGCTCGTCTGCTAAGCTTGGCTCGGGAGAAAGCGTCCTCCTTGTTGCCACCAAACGACGACTCACCCACACTGTTTTCTTTTGCATAATGTCGAGTAAAGATGAATATTTCATGGATAAAAAAAAATAATAATTCAGTGAGAAACACTTCCAAGAATTCTGCGTTGCATTCACTGCCTCAGTTTCGCAGTTCAGGCTCTGCCCTTGATGTTGACATTCTCGGTCTTTATCTGCCATCTGTGAGTTGATTGGGTTCCCCGTAGGTCAGAGGAAGCGATGGGGTCTTACTATGTAATGTCATCATTGCGTTTGTCTTCAAAAGATCCAGCTTTGCCTTCCTGCTCCCACCCAGTGCACCCCTCATTTCACACATCATTTTGCCATCATTCATTCGTCCCATTTGATCTTTCGCTACTGCGCCTCTCTCTGTTTCTCTCTCTCTCTCTCCCCCCCCTCTCTCTTGGCAGCCCTCTCCCCTTATTTCTATCTGTCTTCCTCCCTCATGCTGCATTATTTACAGTGTGGAAATGCCTAAAATTGCCTGCCACTACTTATTATAAGATGCATTCGTCAAGGACGTGGATTAGTGTCTGGCTCTGACAGCCCCAGTGCATCTTGGGAAAGTGGTAGAGAGGAGACTTGGAGGGGAAGGACAGGAGGAAAGGGTGGGTGGGGGGTAGGTTTCCACCCCACTGTCCCTGCATTGTGTGACGGCGTGAGGTGCTAAATGGTGGTTTATGCAGAATAACCTTGGTGGCATGCTGCATTAGTGACATCACAGGCTCTGTGGCGCTGCATTGAACAGCGTCACAGCTGCTGCAGCAGAAGTACGATGATATGCATCTCTTGTTGTCGTCCTCTTCCTCGCTGCCTCGCTGCTCTCCTCCTCTTTTTTCCAACCCCCTTCACTCCGCTTCCTGCTTGTCCTTTTTTCTTTCCCTTTGTGTCATGTGAAGCTCCAGCTGTACAGTAGCGATCTTTAACATCGCAGCTTTCCCCTCAGATCCATGTTGAGCTTGTTCAGGTGGAACCCTCTGCATAATGAAACACAGGCATCACAGATTATGTGATGCAGCTTTTCCTCTCTCTCAGATTTTCGGCTCTTTTACACCATTCCCGTTCTCAGTGCAGCTATTTACGCCACCTTCATGCACTTGCAGTTCCACTATGTTTGCTTCGTCTTCCCTTCATTCTTTCGTCTCCATCCAGGACCTCACACACTCAGCTGCTTGCACTTGATCCCCTTTGCTTGGTTGGAGGAGTTAATAAAGCCTCTGTAGCCACCTTGCAATGCACCAATATATATCTTTCTATCTTTGCACGTTCTCTCCTTCACCTGAGAGATCATTTCTCTTGCAGCAGTCCCCACCTCTCTTCCCCTCCCCTCCCTCGGCTCTCTCCACCTTTATCTGCAGGCTTTGCTCGAGCAGCTCCTTAAAATCCGTTTGACGGGGCACAGTTGCAGTCCGACATGTCGTTATGATTTACAAGAAACATGTGATCTTCCACTGCAGCCAGTTCCCCATGTTTACTGTGCCAGCTCACGTCCCAAATGCTATCAGACGCACACATATAACGCAAACATAAACAACTGTAACATTACTCATCACCCCCCGCCTGCTTTCCCCTGCCGGTCTATCCACACTTGAGCCTGTGGTCAGTGCGATGTCCTAAGTGTCAGTCAAATTCTCTAAGCCTTTCAGCACCTATGGCAGCTGTCAGCCACTCGTCAAGGCAAAATCTCTCTCTGGCAACTAACTGTAATCCAACCACCTAATAAATATCTTTGTCATTGGTCCCTTGATACAATTATCTGGCCAACACAGCACGTGTCACGGCGTATCAGCTCATTTAACGCGCCTGTGGAGTCAAGTGCAGCACTGACAAGATGTGTCTTTATTTGCAAGGAGCCTATTTATGGTTTTTCATTGAGGGACACATAAACTGTGATAAAGGGGAGATAACGAGGACGAATCAACGTTAAATAGAGTTACGCAAATGACCCAAGCGCACTTGTGTGTCTGTGTGCCAGTGAATGGATGTGTGACTGCTTTACAGTCACAATGCAAACTGTGAAGCCAGACTTTTGGCGACAGCTCAGTATAGCAACCCTGCATCTCATCCGCCATATTGTCCCTGGCTCGCATACCACTGTGCAGACACACAGAGACTAGAGACAGACTCCCCTGATGTCCGAGTAGTCGCTTCTGACAAATGACTCACCTCTGTTGTTTACTCTGTGAACAAACACATTAGCTAGTAGCAAGCCTTTCATCAGGAGATTAGCCACACTGGCTTCTGCAATAGATCTCTGCACCGTTTTATTTATTTTTTGTCTGCTGGAATGCAGGCTGATCTTCAGCCCCCCAAAACCTCCTGACTCAAACTGCGGATCCCCATTTTATCTTTACTGTGAGATACAGCAGACGGGGACTTTGCTGCCTAGTAGCATGTATATTTAGATTTTGACCACTCCACAGACAGGGACTTAAGTCAGATTGTGCAAGAGCGTGACCGTGTCCAGCCAGCAGCTGAACGCAAGTGTATTTATGTTCTAGGAACCCAAATGCCAGTCTCGCATTGATAATGTGTATACTGTTAGAATGTGTGTTTGTTCTAGGAGAGAAAGTGGTGTCAGGGATGGAATAATGGGCCCGCCAGGCAGATGTGGCATCCCACTGACCCCGAGTTCAACTCCCCTTGGCATGACTGTTAGGATAGCTGTAGTAATGAAAGCTGGAGCCAAGTGCTGTCAGGGTGTATGTGCAATGTGGGGTTTTAGACTGCAGAAGACCTGTGTCCAAACTTTGAGCCAGACACTCCAATGTAGATAAACTGATATCATTTACTGTTAATTTAAAAACCTGACAATATGATCAGTACGGGACAAGAGGACACACACACACACACACACACACGCACACACACACACACACACATCTTTGTCTCAGATATGCCCACCACTGTATCTTTTTTTTTATTTTGCTTGTAATCCATCTATCTATCCGCTGTAAACCTGCCTGCTGCCTGTTCCAGTCCCCAGAGTATATTGAATGCCATGGTATCATAATGACATGCATGCATGCATGTGCAGCTGTCACGGTGAGCCTAATCCAACCTGTTGTCTACCTGTTGGCATTGGTGTTTGCTTGCAACATGAACTTGTTTTCTTTTCCATGTTCTCCTTTAGAGCCAGGCAGAGGCCCATTACAAAGGGAACCGCCATGCCAGGAGAGTCAAAGGCATTGAGACCTCTAAGAGTCGTCCTCAGGAGGGGGACAAGCCTCATGCTCTGCCCCCCACCTCCTCACCATCTCCGCCTGGAGCCCCTGGCACGGCCCCAGACAGTGAGCCCAGCAAAACGGGTGAGAGTACAGAAAATACTACCAGGAGTTAAAAAAAAAAAAAATGAAAAAAAGTGCTTGTGCAAGTCTTGTATAAATAATCATTTCAATCCATGCAGGATGTTCAGAGGCTTACGATTTTGCTGGAAAATTAAATGGAAAATATGCAAGAATAACAAAGGCATCCTAATCACAGCGGCTTTGCAGTATATTGCTGTTCTTGTGAGAATCTCAGCTCTCTGTGTGGTCTGATTTGGCTGCAGCGTAGCAGAAAACACTGTCCCACAAACTGCACAAGTTAGTTATCGCAGTACTGTTTATTATATCGGAAAAATAAAACTTCCGTTTGGAAGAGTGACAGCCAACCACAACCCGCTGATACCAGGACTGTAGGGAGACTTGTGATCTGATACAGCTGAAATTGAATGTAATTCAAATTTATTTAAACTAGGAATACTGAGGAAGTCACTTCGATTACTAAAAGTGAGATGCAGTAAGTTTTATTTTCCATTTAAAGCCCTTGACTTATTATATCACATTATTATATTAAATTGAATTGAGCCTCAACTTCAAAGCAGTGGCTCAGTCTGGATGCAGCTACAGTTAGCAAGTGCTGGAAAGTGTTTGATGAGAACAGCCAAAGATCACTTGACTAAATGGCAGCAGACTGACAGGAAATCTGACCCCATTTTCCAGTAAGGTTGAGAAGTTTGAATAATGAGAATTCAACTGTTTTTTTAATCTTAGCACAGCCTTGAACAAATATTTTGCATTTAGTGTAGTATTTATTCATTGCAACCAGTTCTATTTTCTGAGAAAATGCAAGTAAAAGGAGAAGCAGACTTAAAAGCCAGACATCAGGTGTGTGAATGACAGCTTGATCAAGGAGGAAACATAATCACTGTGCCAGAGAAAATCCTCTGTATTAGTCCAGATTAACCACAGCAATGCATTGTTCATTTGAGCAATGTACAACCGGATTGGTGTCCATCCATTTAGACTGAGAGGAGGTGAGCTGCCACAGAACACAGCACAGCAACATGGCAGTTTTTTGGCATCTGTTCAAGAAACCCCACTATGGTGTGTATACCGTATGTCTGTGTGTGTGTCTTTGCAAACTCCTAAATGTTTGTCTTGGAAGATACCACACCACAACTACCACAGAATCAAAATAGACCGCATTGCCTGAGCCCCTGCGTGGCGGTAATGAGTGCTAAGACTGATTGTGAAAAATAAAGATGACACCACTGTAGAAGAGTCTGATAGACCAGAACCTAAGCCAACATCTGAGCGCACAGAGACAGCCGCTGATCTGCCTTTAATGAAAAGTAATGTACTGTTGGAAGATTTAATTTATTAGTTGGTAAGGATGCAAGGGACGATCACAGCAACGAGAGCTCTTTCTTTAGCAGAACGTCCTTAGCTCTGTCTGAGTCTTAATTCATCTCTCCTTCTCTGGCTCATCTTCATATTTCAAGCTATAATTTAGAGACTGGCTACTGTGTGCATCTGCCCTTCTCCTTTGTCCTCCCAGAATTTTCCATTCCCTCAGTGTCACCACTCTGTCCTTGGCTCAAACACCAGGCAATGAATAGACCGGCCATGTTTTGGTGACATTTACAAAGGTTTCTGTAGATGACTGTTTACTAGACATTTCCACCTTATTGATGGGAGGGCACAGAGCAAACACCATGAATGAAAAGATGAAACTCAGGTCCAATAGAGGCCAGAATGCAACATGCCAGAGCAAAGGCCGTTGCTTTTCACTGTCTATAAAGATAACACTTAAGATTTTCTCCTCGCTGGAGCCAGAGAAGTAACAGGGCCAGTCCGTTTTACTCTCCTCTCCCCATGGGGGATCAGAGATCAGCTCCAGAACCCCATTAGTGAGACTTCCTGTGGCAAACTCAAGGAGCACAAGGAGCCAAAACAAGGCTGCCATGATCGAGATCTGAAAGTAGCAACATGTGAAAGAATGCCTTTTTCCATCCAAATGTCTTTCTCGTGACCCTGGAAACCTCGTCTCTTCCTGATTTTGCTGAGTGTGTGTGTGTGTGTGCGTGTGCATGCATGTCCTCAGCGTGATCCCATGCTACATGGCAGGGCGACAGATCTCAGTGAGCAGACAGCTGTGTGTTGCTTCGACTGGGAAAGCAGTGTCTGGGGGACCGACCCTGTGGTTTAGACTGTGGAGCCTAATGCAACTTAGTGACTGTGAAAATGACTAAGACAGATTGGGCTATACACACATATAAACACGTACGCAACAATGTGGTCAGGCCCATGCAAGCACGCAAATGAAAGAACGAGGAGATGTTTTCTCTCAGTGCAAATCCCTTACAACATAGAGCAGCATTTGTTGTTGTTCTCGAGTCATTTTTCCTGTGAATGGTCTGTTTGTTGATCTCGGATTTTACGCAATATCACAGTCTTATGAGATGTTCAGATATAAAACAGCAGTAGCCCAGTTTATCATCGGTAAACTGACCTTCACTGTGATATGGCATCATTTCTCATTAACATATCAAACGCAGTCAGCAGTGATGACCATAAACAGGACACATCAAGACCTTGCTAAAGGGCTTAAACAGTGAAAGGTTATGGAGTACTGTTTGGACGCTGTTGCTTCTTCAACCTTACGGGTCTCAGAGCAGGTCATGAGGGTTTTACAGCCCTCAAAGGGTTTGCGGTTAGTGTTGCCCCAAAGAGGAGGCCCTTGGCTTTGGGGGATTTGGACTGGTGAGATGAGGGTTTGGCCAGGCCTGCGAGTGATGGAGAGGCAGCTGTTAGGCTGGAGAGAAACTCTTCCCTCCCTCCTTTCCTTCCTCTTTATCCCTCTGCTGTCTGCTGACACTCCCACTCTAATGAAGGGCCCTGTTAAAACCGCCCTGATATTATAGCACTCTTTAGTCCACACAAACACTCGCAGGCTCGCACACACCCAAGGTCAATTAAATAGATGACTTTCATGTGAGGGCTTGGGTTGCATGGCTGTGAGGTGACAGTCGTATCGAGTTGCACGGAGCTGACGCGCTTTTCTTGCTTTATCTAAGTATTGTTCTGTCTGGGAGTTGAAATTTGGGAACTTACCAGGTTTTAAGTCTTTGCACGGAGGCTATTTGCAACAATCAGCGTGAAATAATAGGATCTGATAAACACAAATTGCATGATTGTGCATACGTGTATATGTGTGAGTCAGGGTTCGGATGCAGGCCAGACTGGGAAAAGGCACCCAAATGCATTATGAATGTGGCGCGGCTATTGTAAGGCCAGCATTGGGTTTCGTAGCTTGTTAATCATTGAGAATGGGCACAGTGGGGGCATTGGTGGCAGATGGAGTGATCCTGCCTCACCCTGTCATACACAGAAACAAGCCCATTTACAAACTGACATTCCTACACCTAGTGAATGCTCTGGTCCTGGGGTGAACCTCCTGGTCTTCTTGCTGAAACAGTAGGACAATGGCTTGTATCTCTTAAGTATTGCTCTAGAATGTGTTTACTTTGTGTGAAATTGCACCGCTTTCATTTGACATCTAAAATAAACAAAGCCCATGCATCTCTGTTTAATGTTCCACCTACACGCAGGTTTCATTATAACAAAACCTCCTTGTGTTTACAATGAGAAACTGTGCTTACAAAGGCAGCCCTTAATCTCCCCCACACTAATATATGCATATATATAATTTGTCATTGTATATCTATGTTTTGCAGCAAACGAGTTCTTCTGGTATGAATTAGAATGGGTCTGTCTTATTCAGGTAGCTCGATGAACAAAACTTTTCCCCAGGACTGCATACTATACATAACTTTAATTTCCTGAAGTGGATTAAGGTCATGCATACACACCAGACTATAGTGTAAAGCATCTGGACCGAGTTATCTCCCTCTGCTGACCTCTCCCCATAAATAATGCCTTCTTCTGTTTGGCTATGAAGTCATCGAGCAGGGAGAAAGGTCAGTTAACTGCTTTATCAATGTTTAATTAGACCTACAGAATATCCTGAGTTTTAGGAGAATCAAGTAACTCTGACAGTGCGATTCACAAGACGGAGAAAATAAAGTAATTTATCTCTGGCGGAGGAGCTAGTGTGGAATGAATAGTTCATGCGTTTCATTTTCATTAGTAAGTATGACAAAAAGAAAAACTATGTGTGAAATTTGTGTTTCTAACTTGCCGAGACAGAAAGTGAATTATTGTGGCTACAAAGGCCCCGTGGGTTTAGCCTCAAAGTGAACTTGTTTCTAAAGGGGGGGATGAGTGTAGACATTCACTGTGGTATTGTATGAGGTGATGGTTGGTGGTTTGGTGTGGCAGACCTCCAGGCCATCGTGGATCATGAAATCCCTCATTACTATTTGGCGGACCACCTCTGTTCCTTCTCACTTGATTTTAACTCAAACCACATGTTAAGAATGCTGCGGATTCAGGGTTTGTTTTTCTGTTTTGTAAAGAAGTCTTGCTGTTGTGGGTGCGCGCCTGCGTGTGGGTAGAAATTCATCAACAACACCAGCGAGAATTCTGTCATTCCTGCACGAGGAGATACAAGCTCTGCACTTAACTTAACCAGCTCAGTCAGTGCTGTGAAAAAGTAGGCATATTATGAGTCATAAACCTCTGCGAAGAGCCCATACCCTCAAAAAGCACTTTGATCCAGGAGTGCTTTATGGACTCTTCAGTGCTATGTAGACTCAGTAAGAATTTCTTTTTTTTCTTTTTTAACAAAGCATCTGTTTGACAAATGCTCTATGCAGCGAGCAGCTCTGCAGCTGGAAACTTCCAATATGGAAAGACAGAGAATTCTGATCTTGGAAAGCAGTGGAATGGAAAGCACTCACAGTGGCATCTTCATCAGAGATGATGCAATGGAGAAGCTAAACCAAAATATACAAATTATTATATTGTCAAATAAGCCTCAGAGTGGAACAAAAACAAAAAATTTATCTCGCTTTCTGTCATGTGACATAATGACATGTGGGAATCCTTAAAAGGACATTAAGCAGTTAAGGTTAATATTTGTTTTCTTCCCAGAAATACTGCATGTTATCCCTTTAATACAATAATCCTGTGAGGCTTTTCTGCTGCCTGCCTTTGGCGCTACATCCTGTACAGTTTGGAGAAGGGCCTCCGAGTCCCTGCTGATGGGGGGGGAGTTCTGAATACCCCACCCAAATTTAGGGGGTCTTTTTTCAGCCAACACCCACTGCTTAGTGAATACCGCAGGCCTTGCGTATGGGAGTGGCTGACCAGAAACATGTGTCTGGAAATGTATGTATAAACATAATCTGTGATGAAAACAGAACATCATATATTGAAACGCACGCAACAATAAGACTTTAGAAAGAAGAAACCAGAGAGCATGCAGCAGGATAGCGCAGAGTGGGAGGAGAGCTAATGGTGTTTTCTTTGGACTTCATGTGTTGCTCGGTGACAAAGCAAGTGCCATTATTGCTTTAACCTCAGCCAAAGACAACAGGTGTGTGGGAAGGAGTCAAGACACGCTGAGGTATCTGTTTCCTGTTTCCCCCCTTCGGAAAGATTTCAGATCAGATGAGACCACATCAGTGAAAGATTGGCAGGAAAACTTCAAAAAGCTAAGAAGCACATTAAACACATCCCTTCATACACATGGGTCATATGTTTCCCTCCTCTGATCTACTTAAATGAACCAATTATGGCCTGTAGCATAGGTAGTAAAAAGCACTTCTGAATGCAAGCGCTTTATGTTGGTCTGTCTGATCTATGGAGCAGACCCTGCCGCCTATATTCAGTTGGGAGTGGTTAGCGATGTGGTTGCACACAGCAGAGTTTTATTTTCAGGGGCATCTTGCTTTACTGTTACAAAACAATGAAGCCAATAATAAAACACACTGCTGCTTGAGTTATGAACTTTTTTGTACTGTAAAATAATTTTTTATTTCGTTCCTCTCTTTGTTTTTCTAGATGAAACACGGCCTCTGCCACAGTTAAACGGGCCCCTACTGGCCCCGGGGCCCCTTCCCCCTCTTCCGACCCCACCCACCCCACCCATGGACTCCCCGGTGCCGTCGGTGTGCCCACTCCTCCCCACTCCCACTCCTCCCCTGATCCCCCCGACCTCCTCCTCCCCAGGCTGCGCCAGCACCAACTCAGAGCAACCCGGGTCCGCACCTCCAATTTCAGGAGCCGCTGGCACCCCGGCGTCCAGCAGCCCATCCAACCCGGAGACAGAGGAGGATAAAGCCAAGAAACTGCTGTACTGCTCACTGTGCAAGGTGGCTGTCAATTCCTTGTCACAGCTGGAAGCTCACAACAAAGGTGGGTAACCTGTGAGCTCTGATACTTTAAAACGGCCGCACTTTCCAGAAACTATCTGGCAAACTCACCATGTGGAATCAACTGTGACATCACTCTTCTTACATTTTGTGTTGATGAAGGATAAGTTTCTGGAACTTTGTCCCTCATTTTTGCAGCTATAGTTGGATTCCTCTGTGTTTACTCAAACCGCACGGTTGCTGTTGGAGACTAAATCACATCCTGTGAGTTCAAGGAATTTTGCCAAGAGAGACACATGCAAGCACTTCTGAAGCTGTTGTCATAACTTTTTAGAATAGAATGGGGAAAAAAATGACTCTAAACGTGTTTGCATTGCTCCATTATGCATTTCTAGATCATACAGGGACAAGAATAAATATGTTGTATAAGGGAAAAAGAAGTCAATTCAAGAGAAGACATTTATT